CCTCTCTCCTTCTCTCCTCAGGCCAGAGCCACTTTCTTCACACACCCCCCGACTCAGCACCCTCTTCCTCTCTCCTTCTTCTCACTCAGGGCCAGAGCCACTTCTCCCTCAGACTCAGTCCCCTCTTCCCCTCTCCTTCTTCTCCTCAGGCCAGAAGCCACTTCTCGCCCCGACTCAGCCCCCTACATTTCCTCTCGCCTTCTTCTCCTCAAGGCCAGAGCCACTTTCTCCTCCGACTCAGACCCCTCTTTCCCTCTCCTTCTTCTCCTCAAGCGCCAGAGCCACTTCTCCCTGAGACTCAGCCCACTCTTTCCCCTCTCCTCGTTCTTCCTCAGGCCAGAGCCATTCTCCCCTCAGACTCAGCCCCTCTTCCTCTTCTCCTTCTTCTCCTTCAGCCAGAGCCACTTCTCCCCTCAGCACTCACCCCTCTTCCCCTCTCCTTCTTCTCCTCAGGCCAGAGCCACTTCTCCCTCCAGACTCAGCCCCTCTTTCCTCTCTCCTTCTCCTCCTCAGGCCAGAGCCACTTCTCCCTCAGACTCAGCCCCTCTTCCCCTCTCCTTCTTCTCCTCAGGCCAGAGCCACTTCTCCTCCCGACTCAGCCCCTCTTCCTCTCTCCTTCTTCTCCTCAGGCCAGAGCCACTTCTCCCCCAGACTCAGCCCCTCTTCCTCTCTCCTTCTTCTCCTCAGGCCAGAGCCACTTCTCCTCAGACTCAGCCCCCTCTCCCCTCTCCTTCTTCTCCTCAGGCCAGAGCCACTTCTCCCTCAGACTCAGCCCTCTTCCTCTCTCCTTCTTCTCCTCAGGCCAGAGCACTTCTCCCTCAGACTCAGCCCCTCTTCCTCTCTCCTTCTTCTCCTCAGGCCAGAGCCACTTCTTCCCTCAGACTCAGCCCCCTCTTCCCCTCTCCTTCTTCTTCCTCAGCCAGAGCCACTTCTCCCTCAGACTCAGCCCCTCTTCCCCTCTCCTTCTTCCTCCTCAGGCCAGAGCCACTTCTCCCTCAGACTCAGCCCCTCTTCCCCTCTCCTTCTTCTCCTCAGGCCAGAGCCACTTCTCCCTCAGACTCAGCCCCTCTTCCCTCTCTCCTTCTTCTCCTCAGCCAGAGGCCACTGTCTCCCCCTGACTCAGCCCCTCTTCCTCTCTCCTTCTTCTCCTCAGGCCAGAGCCATTCTCCCTCAGACTCAGCCCCTCTTCCCTCTCCTTCTTCTCCTCAGGCCAGAGCCACTTCTCCCTCAGACTCAGCCCCTCTTCCTCTCTCCTTCTTCTCCTCAGGCCAGAGCCACTTCTCCCTCAGCCTCTCTTCCTCTCTCCTTCTTCTCCTCAGGCCAGAGCCACTTTCTCCCCCCGACTCAGCCCCTCTTCCTCTCTCCTTCTTCTCCTCAGGCCAGAGCCACTTCTCCCTCAGACTCAGCCCCTCTTCCTCTCTCCTTCTTCTCCTCAGGCCAGAGCCACTTTCTCCTCCCGACTCAGCCCCTCTTCCTCTCTCCTTCTTCTCCTCAGGCCAGAGCCACTTCTTCCCCAGACTCAGCCCCTCTTCCTCTCTCCTTCTTCTCCTCAGGCCAGAGCCACTTCTCCCTCAGACTCAGCCCCTCTTCCTCTCTCCTTCTTCTCCTCAGGCCAGAGCCACTTCTCCCTCAGACTCAGCCCCTCTTCCCTCTCTCCTTCTTCTCCTCAGGCCAGAGCCACTTCTCCCTCAGACTCAGCCCCTCTTCCTCTCTCCTTCTTCTCCTCAGGCCAGAGCCACTTCTCCCTCAGACTCAGCCCCTCTTCCCTCTCCTTCTTCTCCTCAGGCCCAGAGCCACTTCTCCCTCAGACTCAGCCCCTCTTCCTCTCTCCTTCTTCTCCTCAGGCCAGAGCCACTTCTCCCTCAGACTCAGCCCCTCTTCCCCTCTCCTTCTTCTCCTCAGGCCAGAGCCACTTCTCCCTCAGACTCAGCCCCTCTTCCCCTCTCCTTCTTCTCCTCAGGCCAGAGCCACTTCTCCCTCAGACTCAGCCCCTCTTCCCCTCTCCTTCTTCTCCTCAGGCCAGAGCCACTTCTCCCTCAGACTCAGCCCCTCTTCCTCTCTCCTTCTTCTCCTCAGGCCAGAGCCACTTCTCCCTCAGACTCAGCCCCTCTTCCTCTCTCCTTCTTCTCCTCAGGCCAGAGCCACTTCTCCCTCAGACTCAGCCCCTCTTCCCCTCTCCTTCTTCTCCTCAGGCCAGAGCCACTTCTCCCCCAGACTCAGCCCCTCTTCCCCTCTCCTTCTTCTCCTCAGGCCAGAGCCACTTCTCCCTCAGACTCAGCCCCTCTTCCTCTCTCCTTCTTCTCCTCAGGCCAGAGCCACTTCTCCCCCAGACTCAGCCCCTCTTCCCCTCTCCTTCTTCTCCTCAGGCCAGAGCCACTTCTCCCTCAGACTCAGCCCCTCTTCCCCTCTCCTTCTTCTCCTCAGGCCAGAGCCACTTCTCCCCCAGACTCAGCCCCTCTTCCCCTCTCCTTCTTCTCCTCAGGCCAGAGCCACTTCTCCCTCAGACTCAGCCCCTCTTCCTCTCTCCTTCTTCTCCTCAGGCCAGAGCCACTTCTCCCCCAGACTCAGCCCCTCTTCCCCTCTCCTTCTTCTCCTCAGGCCAGAGCCACTTCTCCCTCAGACTCAGTCTCTCCTCCTCCTCCCTTCCTCCCATCTCAGCTCCAGCCTCAAAACTCCCTCAGAAAAGGCGCCTCTCATCTTCTCGCCAAAAGGGCTGGCTCCGCCCCCGCCTGGCCAATCAGAGAGAGAGGTTCCAGCCCCCTGGTGGCCTTGCTGAGGGACTGCAGCTCCAGACTCGGCCCGGGTTCAGCTGTCCATCTCTCTCTCACCCCCCCCCTAATATTGCCTCCTTGCTGCTTTCTGACACTGGGCCTTGAAAGTGGGGCTGCTCTGAGGGGGCGCTGAGCTCTGTCTCCCCGGAGATGGAAAGGCGCCTGGGGCTCATTGCTGGGGGAGAAGGGAGGGGCAGGCAGAGAAGAAGAGAGAAAAGAACCCAGGGAGGAAATGACGTATAAAATGTTCTTTTTCTGTTACAAAACTCCCTTATCCTTTTATAGAACTTGTTTTCTGATTATACCCCCTCTCGCTTAAAAGGGGTGGCGATGGGGAGGGACAGGGGCCGCAGCGGGGTGAGCTCGGCTCGCCAAGGGTTAAGAGGAACTGAGCTGGATTCCTAGAGAGGACCAGAAATGGAGGCGGGGGCGGGTCCTCCAGAGTCCAAGCCCCGCCCTCCCCAGCCCCTTCCTGCCAGAGGAGGCAGCTGTTGTCTCTTCGGAGGCGCCTCCTGCATCGAGTGAGTCTCTCTTCTTGCCTGGGGAGCTTTGGGGGGAGGGGGAGGGGGACCCCCCCAAATCAGGGAGCAGAGGGTCTTCTCGGCACAGGATCCAGGGGGTGGGGAGGGAACCACGAGAGTCCTCCAGGCCAAACATGAGCAGTGCAGGAATCTCCACGCAAATGCTGGTCAGGATACGGATGAGCCGGACCCATGGCTGCCTTTTGGAGCCCATGGGGGGAAAGGTGGATAGAAATGCCGTGAATACAGAGAGGGAAGCCAGCCCGTCATTTGGTCCATCTGCTTTCCATCGATTTCCGAGTCATCTTCATGCGCAGCTCCGCATGGAGGGCATTGCAAATATCCCACCAGAAGCATAGCATGGAGTCCCCTGGCCACAAAAGGACTCATCCAGAAGTACCCCACGCAGATGTGGGGGTTCTGCTGTGTCACATTATTAATGACACAGCCACTATCCTGAATTCCCAGGGCATATTTCAGGATTAAAACACAACATTTAAAACAGTTTAAAACAACTTGCAATCACAGAAAGCAGGTAGGTCCTACTTTACCTCCTCTTGAGTACAGTGATACCTCTGGTTACAAACTTAATTCGTTCCGGAGGTCCGTTCTTAACCTGAAACTTTTCTTAACCTGAAGCACCACTTTAGCTAATGGGGCCTCCTGCTGCTGCTGCGCCGCTGGAGCACTATTTCTGTTCTCATCCTGAAGCAAAGTACTTAACCCGAGGTAATATTTCTGGCTTAGCAGAGTGTGTAACCTGAAGCGTATGTAACCTGAGGTACCACTGTACTGTCCTTTGCCCTCACCCTCTTGGCCCTCAGGGCGTTTCCCAGATGAGGATCTGGCCCTCAGAACAAGGAAAAAAGAACCCCATCTCAGTAGTTTGTCTTGAGGAGGTGGGAACTCCTCGCTATAGCCTGGTTTCCACATTACACTTGGTGCGAATGACTCACTTGTCATTCGCCGTTCTGACTTTATTCCTTGACTGCAAACACTGGCAGGCAGGATCAACCAGGCTGATTCATTTCACAGAAATCCCTTCACTTTCCTGCACTTCTGGGATGGTCACTTTCCTTCTAGGAGGGCAAGAGCATTACTTCTCTTTTTCTTTCGTAAGCAAAGCTCAAAGTCTGGCCAGTGGTGCAGTCCAGCCTTGGTTCCTACGAGACTCATCCTCGCTTGCTCAGGGAACATTTTTCTCCTCTTGTCCGTGTTGTGATTTTATAACAGAACAATGCTTTTTCTTTGTTGGATTTTCTAGCACCTCTAATTTGGACAAACAGAACTTGGAAGAGGACCAAGGGGATCCTTCCTGTCTCTTGGAGGCTTCCTGAGAGCGAAGATGGATGAGCAAGACTCAGCTGGCCCTGAAGAAGGAAGAGGCACGGCCATGGAAACGGGAAGCAGTGGGGGATTCTGGGAAGGCTCTGGGCAGAAGATCCTGGGAGAGGAGGACACCCTTCGCTCAGAGGTGCAGAGCCAGCAGTTGAGGCAGTTCTGCTGCCAGGAGGCCAAAGGACCCCGAGAGGTTTGCAGCCGACTCTACCACCTTTGCCACCAGTGGCTGAAGCCAGAAAGGCACACAAAAGCTGAGATGCTGGACCTGGTGATCTTGGAGCAGTTCCTGGCTGTCCTTCCAGCGGAGATGGAGAGCTGGGTGAGGGAATGCGGAGCAGAGACCAGTTCCCAGGCAGTGGCCCTGGCCGAAGGTTTCCTCCTGAGTCAGGCAGAGGAGAGGAAGCAGGCGGAGAAGCAGGTGAGAGAGACTTTCCTCTGGGTGCTCCCAGGGGGCTCCAAGGAGGGAGGAGATCCCTAAATCCCATTCTTTTTTTGGAATGACTTTGGATACCCCTCAAGTTTTTGTCCCAGCCATTCCTTCTCAAACCCTTCGCCACATTCTCTATTACAATTTTTTTTTTTGCTCTTTCAGGAAAAGGATCTGTTGGCAGAAAAGGGACCAGATTCCTCTGAGGCAGAGAGGACTTCGTTGGACACCAGAGAGAGGCCGCTGGGTAAGGAGGAAGGAGTTTTTCCTCTGTGTGTCACATTCTGGCAATTCTCAAACTAATCTGTGGGTTCTTTCAGTGTTTTGGGGAAGACACATGGGGCCAAGAATCCAAATAAGAGGAGATGTATTTTAAAATAATATGAAATGGGTACTGTAATGGTTATAGGGGTTGCTTGTGCGTAAGTTGCTGCCACTCCTGGCTAGGTTGCCTGGTTAAACCCTTTCTGTCTGGACAGCCCTTCACTCCGTGGCTGTTTCAGTCGCTGGCAGAATCCGTCAGTGGGCGTTTCTTGAACCTCTTCCAGCAAAGAAGTTCTTTGACGCCAAGTCTACGCCTACTCTCCCTGCGCGGAAGTCTTCTGCGCAGGGTGGGTGTGGGCAGCGGAGGACCCGTGCTCTCCCCGCTGGTCTCCGGCAAGGAGTCCTGGAGCCCCCTCGCCAATACCCCCATCTGCCCCCCTTTATCCCTGGTGTTACGCTGATTACCTTCCCCAGCCGATGAGCTACCTCTCTCCCTGCTGGACCCTTCTCCAGCATCGCTTTGGAGCCTTGCCTCCGCCTCTCGCTCCGATGGCAGTTCCCTGACAGGTACAAAGGCCAGAAAGCACCTCTGAGAGAAGCATCCTGCACTCCTGTCTCCCCACTTCCCTTTGTCTCTTGCAGGTGAAAGAAGGATGCCGGCAAGACCTCCTCCTCCATCTCTTCATCCTGGTGGAGGGGAAGCAGCGGCTGAGGAACCGGATCAGGTGCGGGGAAGGAGCAATGGGGGAAAGGGGCTGAGGGGGGAGAGAGACAGGGCGTTTCTGAGACCGAACAAGTTTCTCTGCACCTCTTTGCTTCTGTCACAGCAGCTCTTCAGAAAATGCCATCCCATAATGTTTATCTGCTGAGAATAATAATAATAATAATAATAATAATAATAATAATAATAATTTATTATTTGTACCCCACCTATCTGGCTGGGCTTCCCCAGCCACTCTGGGCGGCTTCCATAGAAACCAAAAATACAGTAAAATATCACACGTTAAAAACTTCCCTGAACAGGGCTGCCATAAGATGTCTTTCTGAATGTTCAGGTAGTTGTTTATCTCTTTGACATCTGATGGGAGGGCGTTCCACAGGCGGGTGCCACCACGAGAAGGCCCTCTGCCTGGTTCCCTGTAGCTTTGCTTCTCGCAATGAGGGGAACCGCCAGAAGGCCCTTGGCGCTGGACCTCAGCGTCTGGGCAGAATGATGGTGGGAGACGCTCCTTCAGTCTGCTGGGCCAAGGCCATTTAGGGCTTTAAAGGTCCACACCAACACTTGAATTGTGCTTGGAAACATACTGGGAGCCAATGAACAGTCACCTCACCTTTAGAATGACACTAGTGTATTTCTCAGTCCTTGCAGTTACATTTTTTATATTTATCACTAGGCACTAAAAACGGCTTCTCAGCAGCTAGCAAGCCATCTAATACGGTGGCGCTGATCCACTGCTTAAAGGCCTGATTGCGTCTGTTCTGAATGCAGGGCAGCAGGGAACCAAGGACCTGAGGCAGGTCAGGACCCTTGGGAACAACAACAACAATGCGAGGGATAACGCATCGAAGAACTCGGACTTATGCGATGTTTTGCATTGGATCCCCTCCAACCCTGGGCTGAAGTCAGCGGACGAGTGAGGGGAGCCCAGCTGTGAACTTGGGTGGCCAGACAGAACATGACTCCCTCCCTCCAGCAAGGAGAAGTGCTGCTGTGGCAGCGGGGGAATGGATCTCAACGCCCACGGGTTGACGCAGAAATCATTTTTGAGGCCTCAAAATTCAAAGTTCATCATGCACAATTGGCCAAATGTTTGCTCTGACCTTGAGGGACTCTAATAACATACACTTCAAGCAGCGTGACTGTGCCCCGGTTTTACAACGGGACCCAAGTTGTGATGGATGTGTCTCTATTTAGCTCTTTACGGGAGCTCTATCTGTAGGGCTATGTAGGCTCTTAGCCACGAGATTAAGCGAGAACAGAAATATAGCAATTATAACTGGTCATTTGCCTTTTTTACCTTTATTAATGCATAATTAAAAAAACGGTTCTAGGTTTAACAGATGCCTCGAGAAGTTTTTTATTAAGTGGTTTGAGCATTAAAAAACGGAGCGGGGGTTGGTTGCGAGTGAGGTGGGGCTCCTGCTGAAAATTGCAGACCCCTGCCAGGAGATTCTCAGATCTGCCAAGACTCCCCCCGACTTTGCTGCATCGCTGTGCGCGGCAGACGCTCCGACGCCAAGTTTTGCAAGAAAGGGAAAGACCTCCGCCACCGCAGATAAGTAAGAGACGACGCTGAGGAGTGTGGCCCGCCCAAGCCTGGGGGGGGCTTGAGGCCAGCTATCCCTCCCCCTCAAAAACTTGTAGACCGCCAGGGTTGTGGGTGTGGGTTAGCCGCTTTTCCTGAGCAATTCACACAACCAGCACACTCTCCGTGACACGAGAGTCCAAGGTCAAGAGAACAAGGGTGCCTTGCAAGCCGTGTTCTGTGACCACTGAGCAAGCGCCAGACTCAACCGCGGTTACCTGTGGCAGCGTGTTCTGGAAGGGCCTAGGCCGCATTCACCGGGGCGGGGGTGCCTCGAGAATTGGACCTGCAATAGCGACGAAAGAAAGGGAGGCACCGAGCACGTTAAGGACCGTGGAGGAAGTTCGGCTGCCCCACGGATCCGGGAAGGAGGAAAGGCTACTGCAGCTGCGCGCGTGACCCAGAGGGGATTTGACGGGCCCGAGGGGGGCTGGGCTCTGCTGGTGCTGTCTTCTTGAAACCTAGAAGGAGGGGGAAGGAGCGTAGGAAGTGTGGGACTCGAGGAGTGGGGGGCCCCGAGGTCCTCTAGTCTAAGCCTCCTTACAATGCAGGAATCGCAGCTCAGGAATTCCTGAAAGGCGGCCACCCAAATCGCTTGACAGACCTCCAACATCTTCCTGATTCGTTGGTTTGGAATCCTCCTGTGACTTTGAAATAATGTTAGTGAGCGGCCATGGCCCCTATCCTCTCTCTGGAGGTCGCGCCAAGGGCCCTCTCGCGTGGTGGCGACACCGCCCTGTGGAACGCCGCTCCCCATCCAGATGTCAAGGAGAGATAAACAAACTACCCTGAACATTCAAGAAAGACATCTGTAAGTGGCAGCCCTCGTTCAAGACGGAAGCTTTTATACACGCTGTGACAACTATTGTACTGTATATTTTGGTTTCTAGGAAAGCCGCCCAGTAGCTGGCTCTGGGGAAAGCCCAGCCAGATATAGGGCTGGGGTACAATAATAACATATTATATTATTATTAATTATTATTATTATTATTATGGAGGCAGGAGAAAAACCCGCTTTGCTTCCATTCCTCCATGGGACAGCCTTCCAGATCATTTGATGGTTCTCATCTCTCCTCTTTCCCAGCTAAACATCCCCAGCTCCTTCAAGCCCATTCCTTCATCCGAGGCCTGGGCTTCCATCCTGTGCCCTCTTTCAGCTTGTCATCTCCTTCTTAAATTGTGATCCAAGAACTGGTACACAGGGTCCAGGTTCTGGTCTCGCCAAGGCAAAATAAAGCATATTATTCCTTTCTTGATATGGACACTCCTGTTCATGCAGCTAGGATAGCATTCACACTTTTTTGCTGCTCGCGTCAACAGAAACCATCTGGCTCACGGTCTACCAGTCCCCTTCATCGTTTCCAAATTGCAATAAAACTCTTATCAAATGGTACGAGAACTCCACGTTTGATGCTTTCCTAGAAACCTTCCGCCTGGAACGAATCTGCAGGCCTTCCTCGCAGAGGGTAAGGTGGTGCGCTTCTATTACTTGAATTATATAGATTCTCTTTACCAGCCAACACCAACCGTTTGCGGCTGCTCCCCCCCCTTCTGCGCTGGTTTCCTGCGGCAAGACGTGCTGACCGGTGCTTGTCGCTGGGGGATCGATGTCTGCCAGCTGCCGGCTGGGAATCCTGCCGTCGAGAGCAGAGGGGCAAGACCGTGTTTAGGGCGGAGGTCAGTGGGGTGCCCCCTTCCTCAGAAGAAGTCGGCGGGCTTTCAGAGCGAATAGGCAGCTGCTGGTCAGAAAGGCAGGACCAGCCTCGTGCAAAGTGGCTCTTTCTTAGAAACGACACCTGCTTTCCCCCAGAGGGAAATCAAAAACTGTTAAAAAGGTGAAAAACAAAACGTTCAATCTAGGACTCTCCTCCCTTGGAAGGTTTTTTAAGCGGAGTCGATTGAGTGATTTCAATACCGCTTAATATTTAAAAACATCTCTAACGGCGCTTAACGAAAAAAACAGGAAAACTTAAAGTGTTGCAAAAATACAACTAATAAGTTTAATTTTTTTTTACAATTAAAGGTTTGGTGTCTGTCTGCCATCGAATGTTTCAGCTGCAATTCCTGCCCTGAAGGGGCGCACCAGAGGAAGATCCTCGCCGTCCTTCCCAGCGCTTCAATTCTGTGATTTATTAATGCATTTTTATCCTGCTGCTCTGTTTTATTTTTTAAGACACTAAGGACGACCAGGACCCGGAAGCGAATCGAACACACACACGAGGTCGCGAGCAGCCAAGACAGCAAGATCCAGTGTGACTACACGGCACACAGAAAAATTCTATATATTATATATTATTATTACTACTCACTCGGAGGCACACAGTGGTACCACCCGTCTGGATGCGAACAGGATCCGTTCCGGAGGCCCCATTCACATCCTGGAAGTGAACGCAACCCGCATCCGTCGCGCTGGCGATCGCCACTTCCGTGCATGCAGTGACACATCATTTTGAGCGTCTGCGCATGCGCGACAGCGGCAAATCCCAGAAGCAACGCGCTCCAATTACTGTCCGGGGTCTCCATGGAGCGCAACCCAAAAAAGCTTAACCTGAAGCTCACTCAATCCAAGGTAATGACTGTACTACTAAATTTAAGGGCCCTGGTCCATAGAGAAAGGACTGAAAATTAGAGAGTGGCTGGGGAAACGCCAAGCCAGATGGGCGGGGTAAAACGAAAAGATAGAAGATAGAGATAGATAGAGGTGTTCAGGCGCCAGAGACCGTGGAGGGAAGAAGCCAGAGTGCACGCCCAGAGCCTCGCTGCAGATTGGCAACCCCGGGAGTGATAAAAGGCGCAAGGTGCAGAAATGCCCCCCCTTCTGCAAAGCAGCACCAACCCACAGCTTCCTGGAGCCTGGGAAAATGGTTCCCCCTCCCCACAAGGCAGCTGCCCCCTCACACAAAGCAGGGGACACGCAAGGGCACGCCTCAAACCTTGTGCCCAGGACGGATAACCCCCGAATGTTAAAAGAAGCCCCAAGGGGAGCCACCTCCTCCGTGTATCCCACCAGGGGCGCCAAATGCCCCAAGAAACTGAGGAGTGGAGTAGACGCCTCTGCGAGCTGGAGGTTCAGCGCGCCAAGGACAACGCACACCGAAAGGGCAAGCCGGAGGCGCCAACACACCTAGTCCACGCCTCCTGGCCGGATCGCAGTGGCCAACACAGCAACGCCCATACATTGGAAACCCGCAAAGCAGGATCAACGTGGCGCAAGAGCAAGAACTCTCCCTCGTAGGCAGCATCCGGCAACATGGGAATTCGGAAGCAGGACCGCCTGCAATTGTGGGAGACGGAGCAGACTCACTGAAATGGCCCCAGGGAATCTGCCTCCTGTGGGAGGGAGTTCCGCAGTTCAACTCCACGCTGTGCGCAGGAGTGGCCCCCAGGGAAGCTTCAAGGCCGAGGCGGAGGGAATGTCAGCCCCCCTAGAGAGGGACCACACCCACCTTGCCCAGCTCCTCAGGAAAACGGAGAACGGACTCACATGCCGGCCGCTTCCCTGGCCTCCTGCAGCTTCTCTTGGAGGCGACCGGACCTCCTGCGGCTGATGACCTGGGGTGGGAGAAGGAGAAGGGGTCGGGGCTGCAGTGGATTCAGGGGAAGAAGAGGAGCCCTCCGGCGAAACAGAGTGCAATGGCCCGGGGGGGGGTGGGCTGTGCCTCTCGGACGGGTCCAGAATTCGAAACACGCCCGCCCCAACAAAGCCTGTTTCCAATCAGCTTGAAAACATTCTGCTGTATTAATTACTATTATTATTATTATTATTATTTATTATTATTATTATTATTCCCCTCCATTGGGACACGACTAAATGACTAAACTCTGAGCCTGGCTTTGGCTGGGGAGGGCAGGATATAAATAAAAATTTTATTGTTATTAAACAGCAACAATTCCCCTTACAACTGAAACAGAAACAGTTAAAGGCCTGGCGGGAGGAAGCAATCACTTAACAATTAAACGTTAATAGAATTTATATAAACATACTATATGTATGCTCAGGAGCAAAACACCCCAAGGACCATCTCTCTCCCTATGAACCACCCAGACCCTGTGACCCTCATCGGAGGCCTTCTTCGTGTGCTGCCTCCATGAGAAATCCAGAGGGTGGCAATACGATAACATGGCCTTTTCTGTAATGGCTCCTCATGGCTGGAACGCTCTCCCCAGGGTGGTTCGCCTGGCGACTTCATTGTACATGTCCTTATTTTCCCTGGACACATCCGGAAATCGGGCTCTCTGAATGGCACCTGGACTATTTTCAATTGGGGCCTAAAAATGTATTCATTTTGTGGGGGGGGGGGAGAGATGTTTCCAAAAAAACCTCCTCCTAGTACACATTTTTAGGCACCAGCCAGAAGCTTTCCTCTTCCCCCAGGCCCTTGGCTAACTAGCGCCCTGTGTCTATTGCCCTGTGTCTATTGCCTTCCCGTTTCATTTTGTTTTATTCTGTGATCTGCCCAGACACCTGACGACAAAGGGCAGGATATGAATTCTAACCCAAATGTCTTGGCATTCAAACGTTTTGGCTCCCGAACGCCGCAGAGTGTTCTGGTTTGCAAATGTTCGTGGGAACCCAGACATCCGATGGGGCTCCAAACGCATTGTAAGGGAGTATATTGTACTTAAAAAATGGGGTATCAGAGTTTTAAGGGGGCTAACCAGGCTGGGATAGCAGGCTTGTTGGTTTTGAATGTCTTGTGTAGATATTTCAATTTTGTTGTTCTGTATGGGACAATGACAATAAAGATTATTGTATTGTACTGAGCTTGCTGCAGCCAATCGGAAGCCCGGCCTTGGTTCCCAAATGTTTTGGAAGTCGAATGGACTTCCGTTCGGCTTCCGTGGTGCGAACTGCACCTCCACAACCCCCCGCCTGAGCATCTTTCCGGACAGAGCCCCTCTGCTCACCGGTCGTGCTGCTCGTTGGCCTGGTTCAGCCGGCCAGCCTCCAGCGCCTTCTCGCGCACCCAGCGCGCCTCCAGCTCCTCCCTCTTCCGCTGCGCCTCCTGCATGAGTCCCTGCGTCTCGGCCAGCTCCCGGCGCAGCCCCTCGGCCTCCTGGGAAAGCGCCCAGGCCTGGCACTGCGCCTCCTCGTGCCGGCGGGTCAGGGCAGCCAGATCCTGGGCCAGGCACCTCATCCTGCGGAGGGGCAGAAGCACCGGATCCCAGAAAAAGCCAGCAGGGACACCCCGGGGTCATCCAGCCCAACCCCCGCCAATGCAATATTTCGTTTTGTGGGCCTCCTGGTGAATTTTGCAGCAAAGACAGGGGGAACAGAGGAAGAAAAACTGCCGGGACGCAACGCCGGTGAACCAGCTGCACCCAACTTCTTTAAAAGGCCGAGCCCCCCTCCCCTCCCACACCTGGGGGGCCGGAGAGACCAAGACTCCTACTTTGCCCGCTGCTCCTTGTTCTCTGCCTCCGCCTCCCTCAGGATGTCCGTCAAGAGAGCGACACGCTGGCACAACTGCAAAGCAAGCGCAGCACTTATTTATTTCTCTCCTGAATTGCCCCCCCGATCAGAGATGCCAGCCTTGAGATTCCAGCACTGCAGGGGGTTGGACTAGATGACCCCTGGGGAGCCCCTCCCACTCAAACAATTCCATAATCCGACGGAGCCACAGGAGCTGGCCCCGATCCAGGCCCTCGGGGAGCCTCAGCTCACCTCCTCTCTCTCTCTCCGGAGTTCAATCAGCTCCATCTCCTGCTGCACCCGGACGGAGGCCACTTCCTGGGGGCGCCTGGAAAAAGCCAGAAGAGGTGGACTAGGCAGAATTAGATAAACTTACAGGAAGGATTCGAAACCTGAAATTCAATATAGGAATAAGAAATGCAGAATAAGTGATAAAGAATGGAAAATCATCAGAGGTGTTAACGGAAGTCTAAAGCATTGCATGAGATGAAAAGATATGTTGTATGACTGTTGGAATTGGTGTGTTAAGAAATCAATAAAAATGTATTAAAAAAGAAGGAAAAAGCCAGAAGAGGACTGCCCCCCCCGTTCAGCAAATGCTCATCCTTCCCCCCCACGCCAGCACCCCACCCTGTGCACTCACCGGCAGGACCCCACTGGCACTGGCCACTGCCCCTCCTCCTCCTCCGCCGCTGCCAGCAGGGTCTGCAGAGCATCCAGGCGCCATACAGCTTTTCATCTGGAAGAGCAAGAAGGAGCGTCTCAGGAGGGGGCTGGGAAGGAAGGGGGTCTCTGGGGAAAGGGGCTTTTAGAAAGGGCAGCCCCACCCTAGGCCTCCACCGCCCCGCTTGCCTCTCCAAAGGCTGGGGAGAGAAAGCAACTTCTTCATCCAGCATGCCGTTAACCTGCGGAACTCCCTCCCACAGGAGGTAGCAAACGGCCACCAACTTGAACAGCTTTAAAAGAGAATTGGGCAGTTTCACAGCGGAGGACAGGCCTGTCAGTGGCTACTAGTGAGGATGAAGGCCCTTTGATGGAAATGGTGGGGAGAGCTGCACTTGTGTTCGAATCCTGCCAGGTGGCTTCCCAAAAGAGGCGTCTGTCTGCCTGCTGTGAGATCAGGACGTTGGGCTGGGGGCCCCGCTTTGGCCCCTCCAGCAGGTTGGTTCTGATGTTCAAGGCAATGGTTGCCAGCAGAAGGGGCCCTAGGGGTCGTCCAGCCCAACCCGCTGCGGTGCAGGAATCACAGCAAAGGAAACACACAAGCCAGTGGGTGCCGTGCTTCAGCCTCCACCCACTTGGTGGCTGCTGGGAGTTGTAGTCCCGCAACCTTTGGAGGCGAGGCCTGCTGTAAGCAGTTGCAGGATTCTGCACCAGGCAGAGAGCCAAGAAGATCCTATTCTGACTCTATGGCAGGGAAGCGGCCCTCCAGCCCTTGAAACTCCTGCCAGCCTTCCCGCCTCTCTGCCGCTGCTTTATAGCCTCCCAGAGTTTCTCCCTAAACCAGAAAACGTCTTCAGACTCCGAAGGGTGTGGGCCCAGGGGGTGGCAGCCGCGAAAAAGGCCAATCCCCAGACCAGGGATCCTTGGCAGAATTATGGACGTGATGCAAATCAATGAGGTGTCTGTCTTTGGAATAACTCTGTGCGGTTCTGGCTAGCTCACCTGAAAATGGCTATTGCCAAGTCGGAAAAGGGCCGCCAAAGTTTACTGTTCTGATGTCTTAGCGTTCTGTGCTGCCCTTCATGTGGGGGTCACGGGGGGGGGCTGAAAGTGGTCCAGGGGGCGGGCTGATTTGCCCAGAGAAAAGGCGAGGAAGAGGCAGCCTGGTGGAAGCTGATGAAGCTATGAGCGCCGTGGAGAAAGGGGAGAGAGGAAGGAGGCCGAACTCGGGGCCTCCAACGCGGCTGGAGGGCGGGAGATGCGGGCAGCAGGGCGAAGGGAGGAGCTGCCAGCCCCGAGGGGACCCCCGCCCAGCCCCCCCCGCCCGCAGTCAGTCCGGTGGCGGGGAGTTCCCCCGGCCTCTCACGTCGCTCCAGCAGCAGCCGCAGGCCCCGCGCGCGCCGCTCCCGCCGCTCCAGCTCCGCGCGCACGTGCTGCCGCCAGCCCGCGCCAGGCATGGCCCCGCCCACTCACGAAGAGGACGACGGGAGACGGAGGGCGGAAGAGATGTATTTAAAGGCCTCACCTCACGGAGGCGCATGCGCACGCCTCCCGACGGAAGACAGCGCTGCACGGCCCCGCCCGCCCAGAGTCACGTGCCGCCAAGAGAGCGCAGGGCGCGCCGGGAGACGTAGTTCCTGATAGCTCGGCGCATGCGCAGGCGTCCCGGCGGAGGAGAGGGCGGGAGCCGGGCAGGAGCGCGATGGCGGCGGGCTCCTCGGCGGCGGCGGCCTCCGTGTCGGGCTCGGGCGCCTACGGGCTGGGCTTGGCCAACGAGCGGCTGCGGCTGCTGGAGGAGCTGGAGCGAGAGATCGGCGCGGCCATGCAGAGCGCGGGTGGGCGGGGCCTGGGGAAAGAGGGCGGGGCCTCCGGGAGGGGAGGAGACGTCTGGGCGGAGCTTAGAGGCCTCTGGGGCGGGGTGCCGGTGGGCGGGGCCTTAGGGTTGCAGGCGGGGCCAGGGCGGTCCCATGGGCGGAGCTGGGTGGAAATCCCCCTGTGCCTGAGGGTGCCCCCTGCTTGCCCCGCCCACCTCTGACATCACCCCCTTCTCCCCCCCCCCCCCCGCAGGCACGGTGATCCTGGAGCTGTCGAAGGAGAAGCCCAACTGGAGCCTGCTGGAGCGCCAGACCTCCCAGTTCATGGGCTCCGTCCAGAAGGTGGAGTCGGAGCTCTCCGCCCAGATCCGCTACCTGACGCAGGTGGGTGGGCGGGGCTGGTGCTTGTGGGGGGGGGGCTCCTGTCAGGCCCCATCCAGCACCCCAGAAGCCGCAGTAACAAGAATAGGAGACGGAGGTGATATGTCTAAATTGACGGTCCAGCTGTCCGCCTACCCGGCCGGGGAAAAGTCCCCCGTTTCTGGAAGGTGCAGATCATGTCCACCTGCCGTATCTGGAGAGGGATGCTCTATGTCACACTCAGGACTTGCTTGGGGCTCCTGGGCTGGCGGCTGCCGTGGCCACCAAGTGGGGTGGCTCTAAAAGGTGAGGAAGCCAATTCAGGGGGTGAGAAAGGCCGTCTGTGGCTGCCGGCCATGCTCTGCTTCCACAGCCAGAGGCAGCAGTGGTGCTTCTGGGTACCAGTGGCTGGGAACTCACCGCAGGAGGGCACATTGCTACCTTGGCCTCGGATCCTGCTGCCAGATTCCCCACCTTGTGGGCCAGTGTGAGAACTTTTGCTCTCCTCCAGGGGCTGCAAGACTATTCTAATGATCAAAAACTTTCTTGCAAAGCTAAGCCAGACCCCGTGTGGTTTCAGATGGGATGATGGGGGGGGCGGCATGTTGAGATTCCTGCATTGCAGGGGGCTGGACTAGATGGCCCTTGAGATCCCTTCTCGCTCTACGATTCTTTGAAAAGGAGACATTGTGCACAGTTTGAGGGAAGGGGAGGGGAACAGGTTGCAGGGGACCAAATCCTGCCTTAAACCTGAGTTCAGTCACCACAACGGAATGTCGGTTGGCCTGAGGTTGGACTAGATGACCCTCGGGGTCCCCCCCGGTGCTATGATTCTTTTATTCTTTTATCTCAATTGTGTTGTCTGACCTTCGCTTGCTCTTCCAACACACACAGTGGAAACGGAAATGGTGTTCACTATGGACTAAGGCAGAGGCTTCCCAGAAATCACGCAGTCTGGACAGTAGCAAAATGTGCCTGGCTAATTTTTGAATCCTGGCTGCAGCCGGGGCAAGGAAGGCGCCTGGTTGTGCTGCTGCAGCTGCACCCTGGTGTTTCTTCTCTCTGCACTCCCCAAAGCGGCCATTCCTCCTCTGGTCCCTGCTAGGGATGCGCAACCAGCCTGTCTCCAGGCACGGCCGTCGTCTGCAAGGGATTCCCGCATGGCTGGTGTTGCCAGCTGTGGTGTCACGTTTGCAGACGTCTTTGTAGTGCAGAGTTGGTCTGTCGATGGGCCTAGTGCCTGGAGCCAGTTCCCCATGGGGGGAATTTGAACCCTCGCCTCCCACTTCCTAGTCCGACACTCTGCCCATCTCGCCCGCACCAGCAAGGGGGCAGGTCCTTCCTCTGAGCCGCCGGCTGCCCTCTCACCTGGCCTGCTTTCCTCTTCCCTCCAGGTGGCCACAGGGCAGCCCCACGAAGGCTCCAGCTACTCGGCCCGCAAGGACTGCCAGATGGCCCTCAAGAGGATCGACTACGCCCGGGTCAAGCTGGGAGAAGTCTCCCGGACCTGCGAGCAGATGCTGGAGCAGTTGAGGCCGAGGCGCAGAGGGGAGGCCTCTCCCGGGTGGCCCCTCCTGGCCGCCAGCACTTGCCAGGCTGCTCTTTGTGGACAAAGGACTCTGAGCAGCCTACCTGCGGAGCAGACTGGAGCAACCCTGCGGGGCAGAAGAGGAACAGCAACGTCTCTGTCGCCTTTTCCAGTTTCATAGCTTTACTTCCTCCTCTTTGGCTTCTTTCCCGGAACAAACTTGTGATATTTATGAAGCGCCCCCCCCCCTTTTTTTTTACACAAAACGTTTGTTAATTTTTCAACAGATTCGCGGTATGCACATTTCCATTAAATGAGATCTGCCAGAAGGGCATCCGGCGTGGGCTCAGTTCAGTGTTGGCATACTGCGTGCAGCCTCTGGACTCTCCTCCCTTGGAGGTTTTTAAGCAGAGGTTGGGTGGCCGTCTGCCTGGGTTTCTTTCATTCCTGCGTTGCAGAGGGTTGGTTTGGATGACCCTTGGGGTCCCTCCTGACTCTCCAATTCTCCACTCCCGTCTTTCAGCACACTGATCCAACTCCAAAGGCCTTCTGGTAGTTGTCCCACTGTAATGAAGACTTGGGGAGTGCTTAGAGATCGGAAGACCTGGAGAAAAAATGGGGGGAAACCAGGTTTTTCCCTGTTTTTCCCCCAAAGCTGTTTTTTTCCAGGAAAACTGAGGGGAAATGTGTGGAATATTCAAACTATATCTCTAGGACTAGACCCCAAGAATAATAGAATCATGGTAGAGTTGGAAGGGACCCCAAGGATCAACTCCACCAGCCCCATGCAATGCAGGAACTTCCCCAGGTTTTTCCAGGCCATCGGCACAACCTCAATGGATGGGTTTGATGGGAGACTTGAGGCAGGAATTGATCTGCCGTCAGGAGAATGGAAAGGTTCCCTGAGCAAGTGTAGATAAGTCTGGCTAGGAGCCAGGGCTGGACTCCACCACAGGCCAGACTCTGAGCTTTCTTTCAGGAAAGGAGAAGGAAGCCCCCGGCCCTCCCAGAAGGAAAGCGACCACACAAAATGTGCAGGCAACTGGAGGGGTTTATGTGCAATGTATCAGCCTGGTTGCTCCTGCCTTTCAGTGTTTGCAGTCCAGGAAAGCAGGCAGAACGGTGATTGACAAGTGAGTCATTTCTTCCCGGTGTAAATGCAGACAAGAGGCTATAGGGAAGACATGCAACCACTTCCATGTCCAGAGGATTTTAGAGACTGAGCAGAAAGCCCTGCTGTGATGGACAGCTGAGCCCGGGCCGAGTCTGGAGCTGCAGTCCTCAGAAACGCCACCAGGGGGCTGGAGCCTCTCTCTCTGATTGGCTACCCAGAGAGGCGGGGGCGGAGCCAGCCCTTTTGGCGGGAAGATGAGAGGCGCCTTTTCTGAGGGAGTTTTGAGGCTGGAGCTGAGACGGGAGGAAGGGAGGAGGAGGAGAGGCTGGTCTGAGGGAGAAGTGGCTCTGGCCTGAGGAGAAGAAGGAGAGAGGAAGAGGGGCTGAGTCTGAGGGAGAAGTGGCTCTGGCCTGAGGAGAAGGAGAGGGGAAGAGGGGCTGAGTCTGAGGGAGAAGTGGCTCTGGCCTGAGGAGAAGAAGGAGAGAGGAAGAGGGGCTGAGTCTGGGGGAGAAGTGGCTCTGGCCTGAGGAGAAGAAGGAGAGAGGAAGAGGGACTGAGTCTGAGGGAGAAGTGGCTCTGGCCTGAGGAGAAGAAGGAGAGAGGAAGAGGGGCTGAGTCTGAGGGAGAAGTGGCTCTGGCCTGAGGAGAAGAAGGAGAGGGGAAGAGGGGCTGAGTCTGAGGGAGAAGTGGCTCTGGCCTGAGGAGAAGAAGGAGAGGGGAAGAGGGGCTGAGTCTGAGGGAGAACTGGCTCTGGCCTGAGGAGAAGAAGGAGAGGGGAAGAGGGGCTGAGTCGGGGGGAGAAGTGGCTCTGGCCTGAGGAGAAGAAGGAGAGAGGAAGAGGGGCTGAGTCTGAGGGAGAAGTGGCTCTGGCCTGAGGAGAAGAAGGAGAGAGGAAGAGGGGCTGAGTCTGAGGGAGAAGTGGCTCTGGCCTGAGGAGAAGAAGGAGAGGGGAAGAGGGCTGAGTCTGAGGGAGAAGTGGCTCTGGCCTGAGGAGAAGAAGGAGAGGGGAAGAGGGGCTGAGTCTGAGGGAGAAGTGGCTCTGGCCTGAGGAGAAGAAGGAGAGGGGAAGAGGGGCTGAGTCTGAGGGAGAAGTGGCTCTGGCCTGAGGAGAAGAAGGAGAGAGGAAGAGGGGCTGAGTCTGAGGGAGAAGTGGCTCTGGCCTGAGGAGAAGAAGGAGAGGGGAAGAGGGCTGAGTCTGAGGGAGAAGTGGCTCTGGCCTGAGGAGAAGAAGGAGAGAGGAAGAGGGGCTGAGTCTGAGGGAGAAGTGGCTCTGGCCTGAGGAGAAGAAGGAGAGAGGAAGAAGGAGAGAGGAGAGGGCTGAGTCTGAGGGAGAAGTGGCTCTGGCCTGAGGAGAAAGAAGGAGAGGGGAAGAGGGGCTGAGTCTGAGGGAGAAGTGGCTCTGGCCTGAGGAGAAGAAGGAGAGAGGAAGAGGGGCTGAGTCTGAGGGAGAAGTGGCTCTGGCCTGAGGAGAAGGAGAGAGGAAGAGGGGCTGAGTCTGAGGGAGAAGTGGCTCTGGCCTGAGGAGAAGAAGGAGAGAGGAAGAGGGGCTGAGTCTGAGGGAGAAGTGGCTCTGGCCTGAGGAGAAGAAGGAGAGAGGAAGAGGGGCTGAGTCGGGGGGGAGAAGTGGCTCTGGCCTGAGGAGAAGAAGGAGAGAGGAAGAGGGGCTGAGTCTGAGGGAGAAGTGGCTCTGGCCTGATGAGAAGAAGGAGAGAGGAAGAGGGGCTGAGTCTGAGGGAGAAGTGGCTCTGGCCTGAGGAGAAGAAGGAGAGGGGAAGAGGGGCTGAGTCTGAGGGAGAAGTGGCTCTGGCCTGAGGAGAAGAAGGAGAGAGGAAGAGGGGCTGAGTCTGAGGGAGAAGTGGCTCTGGCCTGAGGAGAAGAAGGAGAGAGGAAGAGGGGCTGAGTTTGAGGGAGAAGTGGCTCTGGCCTGAGGAGAAGGAGAGAGGAAGAGGGGCTGAGTCTGAGGGAGAAGTGGCTCTGGCCTGAGGAGAAGAAGGAGAGAGGAAGAGGGGCTGAGTCTGAGGGAGAAGTGGCTCTGGCCTGAGGAGAAGAAGGAGAGAGGAAGAGGGGCTGAGTCTGAGGGAGAAGTGGCTCTGGCCTGAGGAGAAGGAGAGAGGAAGAGGGGCTGAGTCTGAGGGAGAAGTGGCTCTGGCCTGAGGAGAAGAAGGAGAGGAAGAGGGGCTGAGTCTGAGGGAGAAGTGGCTCTGGCCTGAGGAGAAGAAGGAGAGAGGAAGAGGGGCTGAGTCTGAGGGAGAAGTGGCTCTGGCCTGAGGAGAAGAAGGAGAGAGGAAGAGGGGCTGAGTCTGAGGGAGAAGTGGCTCTGGCCTGAGGAGAAGAAGGAGAGGGGAAGAGGGGCTGAGTCTGAGGGAGAAGTGGCTCTGGCCTGAGGAGAAGAAGGAGAGGGAAGAGGGGCTGAGTCTGAGGGAGAAGTGGCTCTGGCCTGAGGAGAAGAAGGAGAGAGGAAGAGGGGCTGAGTCTGAGGGAGAAGTGGCTCTGGCCTGAGGAGAAGAAGGAGAGAGGAAGAGGGGCTGAGTCTGAGGGAGAAGTGGCTCTGGCCTGAGGAGAAGAAGGAGAGGGGAAGAGGGGCTGAGTCTGAGGGAGAAGTGGCTCTGGCCTGAGGAGAAGAAGGAGAGAGGAAGAGGGGCTGAGTCTGAGGGAGAAGTGGCTCTGGCCTGAGGAGAAGAAGGAGAGGGGAAGAGGGGCTGAGTCTGAGGGAGAAGTGGCTCTGGCCTGAGGAGAAGAAGGAGAGAGGAAGAGGGGCTGAGTCTGAGGGAGAAGTGGCTCTGGCCTGAGGAGAAGAAGGAGAGAGGAAGAGGGGCTGAGTCTGAGGGAGAAGTGGCTCTGGCCTGAGGAGAAGAAGGAGAGGGAAGAGGGGCTGAGTCTGAGGGAGAAGTGGCTCTGGCCTGAGGAGAAGAAGGAGAGGGGAAGAGGGGCTGAGTCTGGAGGGAGAAGTGGCTCTGGCCTGAGGAGAAGAAGGAGAGGGGAAGAGGGGCTGAGTCTGAGGGAGAAGTGGCTCTGGCCTGAGGAGAAGAAGGAGAGAGGAAGAGGGGCTGAGTCTGAGGGAGAAGTGGCTCTGGCCTGAGGAGAAGAAGGAGAGGGGAAGAGGGGCTGAGTCTGAGGGAGAAGTGGCTCTGGCCTGAGGAGAAGAAGGAGAGAGGAAGAGGGGCTGAGTCTGAGGGAGAAGTGGCTCTGGCCTGAGGAGAAGAAGGAGAGGGGAAGAGGGGCTGAGTCTGAGGGAGAAGTGGCTCTGGCCTGAGGAGAAGAAGGAGAGAGGAAGAGGGGCTGAGTCTGAGGGAGAAGTGGCTCTGGCCTGAGGAGAAGAAGGAGAGGGGAAGAGGGGCTGAGTCTGAGGGAGAAGTGGCTCTGGCCTGAGGAGAAGAAGGAGAGGGGAAGAGGGGCTGAGTCTGAGGGAGAAGTGGCTCTGGCCTGAGGAGAAGAAGGAGAGAGGAAGAGGGGCTGAGTCTGAGGGAGAAGTGGCTCTGGCCTGAGGAGAAGAAGGAGAGGAAGAGGGGCTGAGTCTGAGGGAGAAGTGGCTCTGGCCTGAGGAGAAGAAGGAGAGAGGAAGAGGGGCTGAGTCTGAGGGAGAAGTGGCTCTGGCCTGAGGAGAAGAAGGAGAGAGGAAGAGGGGCTGAGTCTGAGGGAGAAGTGGCTCTGGCCTGAGGAGAAGAAGGAGAGAGGAAGAGGGGCTGAGTCTGAGGGAGAAGTGGCTCTGGCCTGAGGAGAAGAAGGAGAGAGGAAGAGGGGCTGAGTCTGAGGGAGAAGTGGCTCTGGCCTGAGGAGAAGAAGGAGAGAGGAAGAGGGGCTGAGTCTGAGGGAGAAGTGGCTCTGGCCTGAGGAGAAGAAGGAGAGAGGAAGAGGGGCTGAGTCTGAGGGGAGAAGTGGCTCTGGCCTGAGGAGAAGAAGGAGAGGGGAAGAGGGCTGAGTCTGAGGGAGAAGTGGCTCTGGCCTGAGGAGAAGAAGGAGAGAGGAAGAGGGGCTGAGTCTGAGGGAGAAGTGGCTCTGGCCTGAGGAGAAGAAGGAGAGAGGAAGAGGGGCTGAGTCGGGGGGGAAAGAAGGGGGCCGAGGGATCC